ATGCAATTGTGAATGAAATTGTTTTCCTGATTTCTTTTTCTGCTAGTTCATCATTAGTGTATAGGAATGCAACAGATTTTTGTGTATTAATTTTGTATCCTGCAACTTTGCTAAATTCAGATATTAGTTCTACTAGTTTTGGCATGGATTCTTTAAGGGTTTTTATGTATGATATCATAACATCTGCAAACAGTGAATGTTTGAGTTCTTCCTTACCAATCTGGATGCCTTTTATTTCTTTGTGTTGTCTGATTGCCATGACTAGGACCTCCAGTACTATGTTGAATAAAAGCAGGGAGAGTGGGCATCCTTGTCTTCTTCCTGATCTTAAAGGAAAAGCTTTAAGCTTCTCACTGATAAATATGATATTCACTGTGGGTTTGTCATATATGGCCTTTATTATGTTGAGGTATTTGCCCTCTATACCTATTTTGTTGAGAGTTTTGTATCATGAATGGATGTTGAATTTTGTTGAATGATTTTTTGGCATCTATGGAGATGATCATGTGGTTTTTGTCCTTTTTGTTGATGTGGCAGATGATGTTGATGGATTTTTTAATATTGTACCATCCTTGCATCTCTGGAATGAATCCTACTTGATCATGATGGATGATCTTTTTGATGTATTTTTGAATTTGGTTTGCTAATATTTTGTTTAGGATTTTTGTATCTATGCTCATCAGGGATATTGGTTTATAATTTTCTTTTTTTGTGGTGTCTCTGCCTGGTTTTAGTATTAGAGTGATGCTGGCCTCATAGAATGAGATTGGAAATACTTTTTCCTGTTCTACTTTTTGCAAAACAGTAGGTCTTCACTAAATGTTTAATAAAATACAGCGGTGAAATCATCTGGTTCTGGAGTTTCATTCTTAGGTAGTTATTTGATTACCAATACAATTTCATTGCTGGTATTCAAAATTGGTTTATCCATTTTGTTAGCATATAATTTTTCATAGTATTCTCTCATAATTCTTTGTATTTCTGTGGTGTCAGTGATTTTTCCTTTCTCATTTCTGATTCTGTTTATGTGTGTAAACTCTTTTTTTCTTGATAAGTCTGGCTAGGCATTTATCAATTTTTGTTTCTTTTCTCAAAGAACCAGCTCCTACTTTCATTGATTCTTTCTATTGTTTTATTCTTCTCAATTTTATTTTTTTCTGCTCTAATCTTTATTATGTCCCTCCTTCAACTGACTTTGGGCTTCATTTGTTCTTCTTTTTTCTAGTTTTGTTAATTGTGTCTTTAGACTGTTCATATGGGATTTTTCTTCTTTCATGAGTTAGGCCTGTATTGCAATATACTTTTCTTTTAACACAGCCTTTGCTGCATCCCACATATTTTTGCAGTGTTGAATTATTATTGTCATTTGTCTCCATATATTGCTTAATCTTTGTTTTTATTTGGTCATTGGTCCATTGGTTATTTAGGAGCATGTTGTTAAGCCTGCATGTGTTTGTGGGATTTTTTTTCCTGCTGTAATTTATTTCTAGTTTCATACCTTTGTGGTCTGAGAAGCTGGTTGGTACAATTTCAATCTTTTTGAATTTACCAAAGCTCATTTGGTGGCCTAGTATATGATCTATTCTTGAAAATGTTCCATGTGCACTTGAGAAGAATGTGTGTCCTGCTGCTTTTGCATGGAGTGTTCTGTAGATGTCTGTTAGGTCCATCTGTTCTAATGTGTTCTTCCGTGCCTCTGTCTCCTTACTTATTTTCTGTCTGGTTGATCTTTCCTTTGGAGTGAGAGGTGTGTTGAAGTCTCCTAAAATGAATGTATTGTATTATATTTCTTCCTTTAATTCTGTTAATATTTGTTTCATATATGTCAGTGCTCCTGTGTTGGGTGCATAGATATTTATAATGGTTATATCATCTTGTTGGACAGACCCATTTATCATTATGTATTGTCCTTCTTTTTCTCTTGTGACTTTCTTTGTTCTGACATCTATTTTGTCTGATACAAGTACTGCAACTCCTGCTTTTTTCTCCTTATTAATTGCATTGAATACCTTTTGCAATCCCTTCACTTTTATTCTGTGTATGTCTTTGGGTTTGAAATGAGTCTCTTGTAGGCAGCATATAGATGGGTCTTGTGTTTTTATCCATTCAGTGACTCTGTCCTTTGATTGGTGCATTCAAACCATTTACATTTAGGGTGATTATCTATAGGTATGTATTTATTGCCTTTGTAGGCTTTAGATTCATGGTTACCAAAGGCTCAAGGGTAACTTCCTTACTATCTCACAGTCTAACTTAACTCACTTAATATGCTTTTACAAACAAAGTCTAAAGATTCCTTCCCCCCCCCTCCTTTTTCTTCCTTCTCCATTATTTATATATTAGATATCATATTCTGTACTCTTTGTCTATCCCCTTTCTGACTTCAGGGGTACTTCATTTAATTTGGCATCTGCTGAGTAATTAATTATTCTGTTTTCTTTACTGTGGTTTTATTTCCTATGGTGACAGTTATTTAGTTGTAAGAACATTTCCATCTATAGCGATCCCTCTAAAATACACTGTAGAGATGGCTTGTGGGAGGTAAATTCTCTCAGCATTTGCTTAACTGGAAATTGTTTAATTCCTCCTAGAAATTTAAATGATAATCTTGCCAGATATAGTATTCTTGGTTCAAAGCCCTTCTGCTTCATTGCATTAAATATATCATACCAATTCCTTCTGGCCTGTAAGTTTTCTGCTGAGAAGTCTGATGTTAGTCTGATGGGCTTTCCTTTATATGTGATCTTATTTCTGCCTCTGGCTGCTTTTAACAGTCTGTCCTTATCCTTGATCTTTCCCATTTTAATTACTATGTATCTTGGTGTTGTCTTCCTTGGGTCCCTTGTGTTGGGGGATCTGTGGATCTCCATGGCCTGAGAGACAATCTCCTTCCCCAGATTGGGGAATTTTTCAGCAACTACCTCCTCAAAGACACTTTCTATCCCTTTCTCTCTCTCTTCTTCTTCTGGTACCCCTATAATACAAATATTGTTCCACTTGGATTGTTCTCACATTTATCTCAATATTCTTTCATTCCTAAAGATCCTTTTTTCTCTCTGTGCCTCAGCTTCCTTGTATTCCTCTTCAGTAATCTCTATTCCATTTACCATCTCCTCAACTGTATCTAATTTGCTTGTAAATCCCTCCATTGTATGTTTTCTTCCTGATACTGTGTTCTGTAATGATTGAATCTTTCTCTGGAATTCTTCCCTATGTTCTTTAGTACTTTTCTCTGTACCTCCAAATGCATGTTTTTGATTCTTATTTTGAAATATTTTTCAGGAAAATCGATGAGTTCAGTTTCACTTGACCGTTTTTCTGGTGTTTGTGGTATTTTGGTTTGAACCAGGTTCCTTTGACGTTTCATATTTATATGTAGCACCTCTAGTGCCCAGAGTTCTACTCTTTGAAGCAATGTTAGGGGTTACAGGGGAGTGGTGCTGGTGCCTGGGGGGAAGAAAGAGGTGTTTCCTGTTTCCTGGCTGCTATGCCTGTCTCCACTGCCAGAACCAGTGGGATGAGCAAACCAGTGTAAACCTCTATGTTTTGTGTTTGTAGTAACTGTGGGCAGGGCTTCCCTCTGGCTGGCCTGATGCCAAAGTAGGGGCTGCCGATTTGCCAGCAATTGGGGTTGGCCAGGAAGAAGGTTCAGCAGGCTGCATATCACACTGCAGAAATTGGAGCTGTGTAGCCAGCCAGGGGGATGGAGCAACTGAAGCTCCTGAAAGTTTCCAACTTGCTGTTCAGAGTGAACCTGGACAATTTTGCCCACCTATCCTTTTTCCTGTGCAGTAAGCTCTGTGCAATCCCTGCCCTTTTAGCAGCCCTCTTGCTATTAGGAAGTCTCCAGACTGCCTGCCTTTCTTTTTTCCCAGAGCAACTGGATGTGGATCCCTGTTTTCCACAAGCAGCTGGCATCTCAGTCTCTCCAGGTATTCTACCTGTCTTAGTTTTCCATTCCCCCCAGTCTCCAGAGCACCATGCAATGTAAGTTCATGCTCCCAGGGCAGATCTCTAGGGCTGGGTATTCAGCAGTCCTAAGCCTCCACTCCCTCCCCACTCCGTTTCTCTTCCTCCTGCCAATCATGGCTTTGGTATGTTGCCCTGTTTTGTGGAGTCTGTTCTTTTCTCCAGGTGTATGTAGTCTGGCACAGCCTTCTTTCCTGTTGCTCTTTCAGGATTGGTTCTATTAATTATATTTTTGTATTATATGTGGTTTATGGAGGAGGCCTCTGTCTCACCTCTTATGCCTCCATCTTTAATGCTCTCCCGAAAGTCCTATTTTCTTTGCTCTGGTGTGTTTTCTCTTCTGTTTAAATTGGAAAGCCCATTAAGTATGGATGGCCAGAACATAACAAATTATTAGTTAACTAATTCGTGGGAAATCAGTATAACAACAGCAAAACAACAACAATAACTACTATCACTGTTTTTATTGAGTGCTCTGTATTGGACCTTGTAGCTTATTTACATGCATTGTCTCACTTAATTCTCAGAACCCTGCTAGGCCAGTATTATTATTTCCATTTTAAACATTAAATTGAGGCTTAGAGAGAGGTGCCCAAATCCACATAACAGAGCTAAGATTAAATACGAGGCTATGTCATTCCATGTTCTTTGGAAACTCCCATGTTCATTTGGAAACCACTATTCCATATTGACTCTGAGATCATTGGATTTATTTAGTGCTACTTAAAACCCTTTTCTTCACAACTCTTGTTAAAATTTTCTGAGTCCACTTTCCTGCCTTAATAAGAATATAGTAATGACCACTGAAGATTTCAGAGATATCATCCTTACCATCAGCAGTTAAACTAATAACTAGAGCTGTCAGTGGTGCAGGTGTAGATTATAAAATTAGTATATGAGACACCAACCCTCCCCATGGTGTTTGCTCCCTCTCTTTAGTTCTAAAGACCATTATGTACATTTATTCATTTATCAAACATGTAACACATTTCTATTTTATATCATTCATTAGACTTTAAGCTCCAGGAGAGCAAGGACCTGTCTTGTTCACTGCTATATTCCCAATACCAGGCACCTACTAAAAGGTATGTCCTCAATAAATATTTTTTGAATGAATGGAGGGGTAAATGAATAAATGCATGTACAAATGCCAGGCACTGTACTGAGCTTTAGGGTACAAGCTTGACTTCTAATTCTGCCCATTTGCCTCAAAGAGGGGAGTTAGTAGAGGGATCCTATTAGGTGGATAAAAGTTATATGCTTCTGAATATTAGACTTTGGATTTCCATGTACAATATATATAGAAAACACGAAGTTTGGTCTTCTCAGGTTATATCTGCTATTTTCCCCCCAAGAACTTAATGGTTAAGATTTTATTTGCAACAGAACAAAACTTGCTTCTTTAAAAAAATAAAGCTGAATATATTGATACTGGCAGAAGAATGTGAACATTGTGTCTATAGTGATTTTTACATTGGATGTTACATTTTAAAAAATGCAGAATAACAAAAGAAGGAACAGAATTCCTCACCATCCTTTGCACAGTGAAAATGCATTACATGGTAAGATAGTCTTTTTCAAAAATAAGTCAATGCTGGTAGAGAATCAAAGAAAATGCTTCAGTGGTTTTTGTCAAATTGGAAGTAGCACATTCTTAGTCTAGTGAAAGTGAACATTCACAGATGTCTCACTTCTTTCTGAAATTATGCACAGGATGGGGAACAATGGCAAGTAATCCACCCAAGTGTATTTCCATGGAAGCTCAGATGTCCTGTTCCTCTGTCTCACACAAAAGCAGTACAGATGGCACACTGGCAGAATTGGAGTGGTGCCCATGTCACCTCTGCATCAAAGGCAGTGGGTTTCTGTTGACCCAGAGCTGCAGGCTTGTATTGTCTATAAGTGGTAGCCAATCGCTCCATTGGAGCCACCTTTTAGGCACAGGTGGTAGAAGCCATCTGTTTTCCCCTGAAAGATAAAAGGAATGATGACCATCTTTCTTGATATCACTTGTAGTCCCACAATGATAATCATCCATGAGGAAGGTCAAAAAATAACAACCCAAACTTCTCTTTTTGGCCTATATAGCCATTTAGGACCACGTTCTAAGAAATGTTACAAGGGATAACAGTCAAAGGGTTGTATTTCAGAGTGACACTGTGGATTTGGAAGAGAAATTTAGTTTTTTCTTTCTGTTTTTGTTTCTTTGGTTCTGTTTCATCTTTACTATTCTATGGGCAAAGGCTGCTCTGGTGCCAAGCTATGGTGCTATGTGGTGACATCAGCCCTAACACTGATTTTTTGGAAGGTGATGACAGTACACTTAAATTCTTTTCACCAAACCCAGATTTATTAGTTTCCTATCACTGCTATAACAAATTACCAAAAACTTACTAGCTTAAGACAATACAAATTTATTCTCTTAACATTCTGGAGGAAAGAATTCTTAAAATCAAATTGTCTAGAGGGCTGTGTTCATTTTGAAGCCTTTAGAGGAGAACCCATTTCCTTGCCTTTTTAGATTCTAGAGGCCACCTGCATTCCTTGGCTTATGACCGTCTTCTCCATCTTCAAAGCCTAGCACTTCTCCTCTGCTGCCATCATCCCATCTCCCTTTTTTCTGCCATTGACCCTCTTGCCTATCTTCTACGGGCCCTTGTAAGTACATTGGGCCCAACTGAAAAATGCAGGATACTCTCCCCATCTCAAGATATTTAACTTAATCACATTTTGCCATGTAAGGTAACATATTTATAGGTTCCAGGGATTAGGACATGGACATCTTTGGGGGGCCATTATTCTGTCTACCCCACCAGCCTAGCTGTAATGATAATGCTTAACTCACTTGGCTGGGGTACCTAAGTTCATGAGGCCACTATTGCTCGTCTGATGTTTATAAGTACCATACTGATGATTATGGACCATATAATATAATGCTAGTAACAACTGTATGAGGTAAACATTATTATAATCTCATTTTGAAGATACAGTAGTGGAACTCATAGAGATTAATAAACTTGCCCAAGTTCACATATCTAGGAAGTAGTAAAGCAGTACTCAAATCCACATAGATCTTATTCTAAAGTCCATGATATTTCTAGTTCCCTACTCTGTAGCATTGGTTTTGCTGAGTTTACTTACTTCATTTCCTGGCCACTGTACATACCTAAACTTTGTCCAAAAATAGCATAGCTGGGTGCCTTTCACCACATGTGGTTAGATTTGGACAAATTCACCACCACCTCTACAAGGGTAATTCTTGGTTAGGGTACCTAAGTTGATGAGGCCAATATTTTAATTCCAGTTTAACTCCAGAGACTTATTAAGCACCAGTGTATGCTGCCAACCTGTGCAAAGTCTGTGCCTCACCAATGGTGATGACTCATTTGAGCTGCCTCAATATTGTCAGAGCATTACACTGCAGCCATCCTTTCATGATTATCTCTCAGGATAAAAGGGAGCAGATGCCTCTTGAGCAGGTCAGTGAAAAGGCCATGCCTTGAAACTGAGAAATTGCCAAGTTTCCGAAGCTCCTTTAATTTGCCAATCCATCTGCCTCTAGGAGATAAGAGATCATTTTTCGCATTTTTTAACTGTTCAAAAGATGGTCCCTGAGATAAATAGTGTCCTGGGGCCTCTGGGGGTGTATGGACAATTGTGGACCATAGAAGGCTGGTTAATACAGAAGTTACATGACCATCTTTGAACATTTCTTTTATACATTTCTTTTATAGTATGTGACTTCATCTTTTCAGGGACACTGGAAGGTCAAACCCAAAGGTGATAGTTACTGTGACATTAANTTTTTTTTTTGAGAGGGTATCTCTCATATTTATTAATCAAATGGTTCATTGCTTCAGTTTTTTAGAGCCCCTCTGCTCTTTAGTTATCTCAGGTTCCCTGACCCCTGGTTTCCTGCACCAGACCCCCAGATGCTCTATCTTTATCTGCACTCTAAGCTCCAACTAATTCTTCCTGTGTTCCATTTCCCAGTGGAACTCTGTTTCTTATAGTTTTTATAATAACTGTATACCAAGTTATTAAGATATATAGCTTTGTTATTCTTCCCAAATAATAACTTTGTTGAGAAAGGGAGGGAGGTATGAGGAAGAGGAAAGGAGAGGGGAAGGGAGGGGAAGAGAGAGAGAATTTTTGAAGTTCTCATACCAGGAAAAATTTTTCCCCCTTTCTTCCACATCTGTTCCTTTCCAGAATTTTTTTTGTCATATTCCCTTAGTTTTCCAAATACCAAGGAGCCTCAAGAGCAACTTCTTTAATCATTCATCAAGAGCCATCTAGTCCTATTGATTCTTTGGTTCAGTTTTACACTTTTAAACCTTTAATATGTGTGTCAGGCACTGTGATAGGTTCTAGAGAAACAAAAAGTTATCAGACAAACCCTATAACATGGGGGAGATTTTAGATTAAGAAGAAACAGACATATTAACAGAAGGTTTTGGTGTACCATAGTACAGACAAAATGCACATATGGGAAACCAGAGTTTTTGAAGAGCTAACTCTTCATTATGATGGATAACTAGAAGTTAATTGGGCAAAATAATTGGCAAGCTTCATTTCTTTAATAATAGCTTTGGCTTACCTCCATTCTTTTCCAGGTTCATGGCCTTACCCAAACCCAGGCCTTGGTCAGCTCAACCTCAGATTGCTTATTAAAACAGTCTCCCAGACACTCCGCAGGCTTCCTTTCTGGTATCCTCAATGCCCTGCTAGCCACTGGCCCCTGTCCATTCTCCGCCTTGCTAATAGATTCATCTTCATTAAATATTTCCTTGCAAAAATCATTCACTCTCCTCCTACCACCTCTTCCAGTTCTAAAATCTTCATTGACTTGCTACTGCTTTTAACACAAAACCTTGAGCCCTGAATCTGGGATTCAGTGCTCCCCACAGTTGAGTCCCCATATATGGGCCCAGCCTCATTTCCCATATTTTCTTACATATGCCCTACTCCCAACTCAAATTAAATGTGTGCATAATTTCTCAAGATCCCAGATATGTTCTTGCCTCCATATTTTGCTCACATCAATCTTGTTCAGAGTGCCATCCTCTATCCAATCTCCAGACAGATTTAAGTCCTACTCTTCCTTCAAGAACAGCTCAAGCCCCATACCCTCTATAAAACTACCTGGTCCATCCCCATCCCTCTGTTATCATTGTTTTCATCAGTAGGCTTCAGTCATCTAGTATTTTACCATGTGCAAACTTCTACTGCACTTACTTGACAGGTATAATTCTACTCTCTTTCACTGAGCAGTAATCCCCCTAAGACAGAGGCTGTATCTTGCAACCCTTAGTATCTCCAGTGCATAGGCAGCTCAGATTTTGAGGATGATAATGAATTGATCATGTGGTATATATAGGGAAGATATGTGGGGAAAAAATCTTGGAATCCCTCATTTCACACCCAAATTGCTTACATGAAGGGTCAAGATGAAAGATTTCTTGGGAACAAAGTTTAGCTAGAGCTATAGGCCTGAATGCTTACAGGGGCTTGCTTGGGAGGGAACATAATTAGGCTGGAAATAAGCCAATATTTATTTAATTAACAGATTTTTATACAGTGCTCACTGTGTGGTGGGTGTTGTTCTAAGTGTTAGAAGTATTAACTCATTTAATTCTCACTACAACCCTATAATTATTATTCCCATTTTAGAGATGAGGCAATCAAGGCACGGACAGTTAAGCCATTGTTGCAAGGTCAAATGACTAGTAAGTGATAGATCTTGAACTTCAGTTTAAGTGCTCTAACGTTTAGTGTACTTATTTTTAACCATTGCACAATATTAATTTTCCAAAAGGGACTTGTTGCCTCCAACCTGAGAGTGTATGATGAACCTGAGGACATCTAAACTTAAAGAAAATTGTGAGCCAGAAAAAATACATCTGTGCGCCAGGTCAAAAAAAGTTTATTCTTTGTAACAGCACATATATTCTAGGACAGTAAGAAGCATCCCCGATTATGTCCTCTTTACCTTGACATCAGTTCATATGCCTATTATGGGCATTTGTCAAAGCAAAGGAAATATCAGTGTTCACTGGCATCACTTGATATGTTAAGGTTTGCA